TTTTTCTTTCAAGAAAATAAAAAGTCTTCAAGATTTACAAATCTAACTTTTCTTTCAAGAAAATAAAAAGTCTTCAAGATTTACAAATCTAACTTTTCTTTTAAGAAAATAAAAAGTCTTCAAGATTTACAAATCTAACTTTTTTTTCAAGAAAATAAAAAGTCTTCAAGATTTACAAATCTAACTTTTCTTTCAAGAAAATAAAAAGTCTTCAAGATTTACAAATCTAACTTTTCTTTCAAGAAAATAAAAAGTCTTCAAGATTTACAAATCTAACTTTTCTTTCAAGGAAATAAAAAGTCTTCAAGATTTTAAACTTGATAAACTGCGCAGTTTTTATAGACAAAATAATATGTAATAAGTAAAAATTGGTAAACAGTAAATTTCATTCGCAAGAAAGATGCTGTTAATATTTTGATAAATAATTTGTCTTGATAAAACAAATGATTTGTTTTAATAAGATAAAACCCCCCTAAATAATTTGTCTTGGTAAAACAAATGATTTAGTAAGACGAACGAAAAAGTAGAGATATTCAATATTTAAAAAATAAATTAAGAATATAAAAACGACAATAAAATGTAAATAAACAAAATATGAAAAAGAAAATTTATAATAGTTTTATGATTGCCATATTAACCAAAAAATAAAAATACATTTATACCGGCTGCAAAACCTAAATAAGATCTCTTTAAAACCATTTAGCAAATGCCTCATAAAAGGTTTAAAGGTGTTTTAATAGAAAACACCTTTAAACCTTTCGTGTAATTAAAAATCTAAGCGATCTCTGCGCATATAGGAAAATAGTTTTTAATTCAAAAATGGTCAAAAAAGCAAAAATTAAACCTCAGATTAAAAAACTGTTTTATTAAAATATAGCTCTTAATAAAAACTACTCCTCAAAATTTTTTCAAAATTCGTAAAATTGTTCTTGAGATAAAATAGCGTTAAAAAAAAGACTACTTTAAAAAAACCCAAAAAGAAAAGAAAATTATTATATATAACTTTAAAACAGTATAAATTTGGGGCAATAAAAATACTATAGTTAAAAATAATAATAAAAAAGCTGTAAAACTATACATAAGCTAATTCAATATGTACATTATCTACAACAACTTCATTTTCACTATTTTAGTTTTTACTTCAGATTTCTTTTCTGAATAAAGTCCGCCTTCTTCTTTCAACTTTGGTTCGATTTTTTAATGTGACATGTCTTGCTAAAATAAATAACTTTTGCCTGAGGCTGAACAAGAAGTACAGCAGAGTTAAGTATCCCAAACCAAAATACGTGAATAAAAGCAATTTTTAAATTAAAAAAAAAAACATTATACCACAGTATATGTTTCAATTTATCTGTTTTTGATAAAATGAAATATACTTCATGTTTCAATTTATCTGTTTTTGATAAATTGAAACATGAAGTCACCCATTAAAAACCTAATAATTCTGCACTTTAGAATAATTTATATAAGGAATAAGTTATATAAATAAAATCTATGGTCACTTTATGTCTAAAAAAGTTCGTTCTAAAAGTTTCTTTCTTCAATTATTTTAGGTAAGAAGATGGAGGAAGAAGGGGTTCTATTTTAAATTAACTCTAAACCTATTATTTACAATGTATGCACTTGGGAGCCCTTTTAAGAGCTAACATAACATTTTGTTATTAAAAAGATTTCGGTGACAGAGCTTTTTGTGTTAAAGGTGACAACTTAATGATTCGATTATCGGAAGCATAAAACCGAATAATAAATCTCCATTTAAACTATATGACATTAAAGATATATACTTTTTCTTTTTTAACAACATAACACTGGCGCCACTCGAATTTCTGGGTAAATTCTGATAGAATATATTATGAGTAATTAAAATAAAATTTATAATTTTCTATTAAATTTTAACACGAATGTTTCAAAGTGAATTTAAACAAAAAGATTTAAACAGTCTGATTTTTTATTTTTATTACCTATAAAAAGCAAACAATTTTTAATTTTGGCCATCTAAATAGCAATGCCCTATAAAAAAGTATTAGTTTTAAAAAAACTATACAAAAAATAATATTAAATTGAGAGAAAAATCGTAAATAATGACTGGTTTGACGTCAATAAAAAGCGGTTTGAAAAAGTTATCTAAATGATTAATAATAGTGTTCCAGTGGGTTCTTCAGATTAGAATACTATCAGTAATAAAATTAAATTACTCCTATAATCACTTAAAAACAGAAGTGTATGTGTGTATGTGTGTGTTTGTGTGTGTGTGTGTGTGTGTTTATCAAACTCATCAGGTAAATTATTTTCTCTTAAGTAAACTATTTCTTCTTAACACCACAAACCAGTAATATATTGTTTTCTTGGTTACTTTTGGAATGCCAGATACTGATTTACATTTAAAGACTAAAAGAGGATAAATTATTAAAAATTTACTACTTTTAACTATATATAGTTCTAAATCTTTCCCAGTAAACACACAACGTTTTAAAGACGTCTAAACAATGTTTTTTTCACGTCTTGAGGTCTTATTCACGTTATTTAAGACGTTTTTTAGATGTCGAGTGTTTACTAGATCTGGCCTGCGTATTTTTATCTTATATATTGTAATAAAGAACAACTTTGTTGTTCTTTATAACAGTATTTAAGATACAAATGCAAATATGAAAAAAAAAATTAAAAATGAAGATATTGTTAAAAAAATAACGAATTACATCATGTCGAAGAGACCCGTTGTTGAAGAAATTAGAAAGAAAAAAAATTTAAACTTTTCTTTTGTTGTGTTAAAGAATTTAAACTTTTCTTTTGTTACGACTTGCATCAACAGAACTACTGAGTCTTCCGGACCGCTAACTCACGTGAACAATAATAACTTTTAGTAATAATTTTCAATTTATATTATAAAAAATATTTATATTAGAAATACATAAAATAATTTGGGTTTTTGATTTTATTTCTAATAGGTTTTTTAAATAAATAATGTAATACATACTCATTTTAACGCAAAAAAAAAAAAAAGAAAAAAAAAATCATTTGGTGCCAAAAATTTAATTACATTTTTATTATAACGTTATACTCAAAAGTAATACTTTTTAAAAAGTCTAAGTATTAAAAATGTGAAGAAACTCATACCTTTAAGTATATACATATTAGTTACAGAGGTGGTTGAAAAAATTATGAAAATTAAATATCTTGAGGAGTAAAAAAAAAAAATATTTAACGTTGGCTTTAAAAATTGTCTACACGCTCTTTTGAAATTCTTCTAAAGGATCATTAGTCGATTTCTATAAAACAAGCTTCAAATTTTTCGGATAATTGATGGTTTTTCACTAAACGTACTAGTAAAAAACATAAGATTTTATAGGTAAAAAAGCTCACGTGTAACATTAAAGTTTAACAAACTTACATCCAACTATTGACAACAAACAAGTTTGAGTATTTTATTTCTACAAATATGTTCTGTTTTATAACCAATTTTTTATAAATAGTTCTGGATTAAATTATGTAACAAATTTTTGTTTTGTACTCACTTAAAAGTGTGTTATTCTAACCCGTTTTTCAAAAAACAAATAGAAAATAGCTTTTGTTTCACATAAACTTTGTTTTCAAAAAAAGTTTTGCAAACTGTAAAGATAAATTAAAAATTTTGAAAATTAAAAGGACAACACTATTGAAAAAAATTTGTGTTCTTGAAAAAGTTTTCGATTCGCGCAACAAATATAAAAACTCTTTTAGAATATTGAATCGCTAGAACTGTTTTATAAAATTTAAAAATTTCCAGAATATTTAAGAACTTTCAAGAAGCCTTTACAACTTTAAAAAAACATCCCGAACTTTCTAAAACGTTCTGTTTTTCTTTGTTATATACTTTATTTTTGCAATAAACATTTCTTCATTTAAGAACATACCAAACCAAGTTTAATAAATTGAGTAAAATGGATTTAATATTGTGTTAAGTGTATTTAAGTTAACTAACGTTTAAAAGCAATCTAATTCTAATTTTGTAGTTACCGAATAATCTTGTTTTTTGTATTCTATTTAGACGTTGAAAACGAATTCTGTTTTTTGTGAAAAAATTTCGCAATTCAAATCTAAATTAAGACGTTACTTACGGATTTTAATATAGTAGATTTTCTCTGTCACTTTTAGAAGTTATTAAACTAAATTAGAACCAAAAATTTAAAAATCTATATCATTAAACAAAAGACAGTATTAAGAATTTCAATGTCTTTATCATACTTTTATTGAAAATATTTACTTTTGAAGGAAAAAAAAAAAAAAATTTACTTTTGAAGTAAAAAAACCCGGAAAATTTTGTTATTTTTATTACTATATTTTAATAATTTGTTTTTTTCTTTTTTTTTTTTCTTTTTTTAATTATTTTAATACTTTTTTTGTTTCTTAACATCTTAAAATTGTTTTTAAGTGCTGTTGCTTATATATTACGGATATTTATTTGCATTACTATTGGGGCTCGGTGATAAGGCTAATTAATGCCTTCTTCTTGCTCCAGCCAATTGTTCTTTTTTTATATTGTTGTAGATTGAAAATATTTTTAACGGCGAAATAATCTTACTAAAATAACAATTTACAAAACTTCACTGTTTCCATTTTTTTCACAGTTTTATGTGTTTCAACTTATTTGTTTTTGTCGTGAATTTTAGTTTATGTTTAGTTTAATATTCTGTTTACCCATAAATTTATGCATAAATTATGTATATTTTCAAAAATAAAAGGCTTTTTTGTACACTAAATATTATTGGATAGTTTTAAATATGTAAAATCTTAAATACTTGTGATATAATCACAAGTATTTAAGATTTTGAGTTATTGATATCGTTTCGCCGTATTTGTTTAACCAAGAAATCACTCGATCAATACAGCTCGATCAATACGATCAATACTTTATTTATTAAAAATAAGAATTATATAAATAAAAATCTAAAAGCTATATATTCATTAGAATAAGATAAGAGTTAGATCAAGGTCTTTTATAACTACGTAAGTACGCCCATGTATTTTACGCCACAACAAATGAAAAAATCACAACAAAATTTAAAAACAAAGTATTAATAAATTATTGACATTTTACATTCTCTTTGCAGAAGTTTTGAAACTTTATTGAGAAGCATTATCTGAGAAATGATCAATCTCAAAGTTTAGCCGCTTTAGTAAATTTTTTTTCATGGTTGCTTTTTAAATTAAAGAAAAGAAGCTCTTTATGTCTATTTTTTATTGATTGGATTAAGTAAGAAGAAAAACTAAAGCATCTTGGTGTCACGTATTGCAGATTTTTCTAAAAACAAAGAAATATATATTTTTAAATAAAAACAGAATCCTGCAAAAAATGATTTGTTGGCGGACAAAATTATTTCCTCTGCCAAATTTAACAATTTTTGCCATTCTTCTTTCCATTTTAGTTGTCGCAGCAGTTGGTCTTAACTTTGTTGTTGTAATCATTATTTTAAGGATGAAGAAACGAGAATTATGTAGCTATATCTTATTGTCACTTTCAATTTCAGACCTGCTTATAGGAATGGTTCTTGGTCCAATAACGATTGCGCAAATATTAGATTATAAATTGTTATTAAACTGTACAGCGCATTTTATTCGCAGTTATATTTTAGTCTTGCTTGTTGGCTCCTCCTTGTTAACACTAGCAGCAGTGTCATACGATAGATATTTATTGCTGACTAAGCTGTCTAACTACAATCAGTATATGACTAAAAAAAAAGTGATTTTACTGATAGGGTTTGCATGGTTTTTTCCTGGATTGATACCTTTAACCAAAATATTCAACATGACACTGTATGTTGTTTTACGAATCGCTAATTGTACACTTCCTTTAATTACCCTTGGTGCCTTTTATTATCTTATTACACAAGAAGTACGTAAAAGAGAAATTCATACAAGTCAAAACAGAATAAACAGTTGTGCATTAGATAACGATATATTTACTGTTAACAAGCATACTGCTAATATTGGCCGGTCAACAGATTTGTCTGTAAAATATTACTCTCACGATAAACTAAGAAAGCATAAAAGGGTAGCAAAGTCAGTCACTTTATTAATCGCATGCTATTTAGCATTTATTTTTCCTTTAAACATTTGGATGATTTTAGAACTCATAAATATAGAATATAGCCCAAAAGCTCATGAAGTATTTTACATGTGTGTCGTCTTCTTTATGCATGCTAACTCATGTATAAATCCAATCATTTATTATGCAAAGCAATCGGAGATTAAAAAAGGATTTAAACAAATTTTCAAGTTGAGTATACCAGTATACAATAATCCAAAAAAAATTGGAATCAACAGCAATGTCTAAAATTTGAAATTAACAATGTTTTTTTTTTTTGTTTAAGCAAAAGTATTACTGTAACGTAGTACAATTTTTTAATATTAAACATAATAACAAATTTTATTTAAATATTGATTAGTTCTTTTTGAAAACTTTTGGAAACATATAGAATTGTGGTTATCTTTTTTTTTCCCGATAAAGTAATCGTCTATTGTCCAACAAAAAACTTAAATGTTTTTAAAGTTAAAGTTAGATTTTCTTAAAGTTTCTTACTTGAACTAAATTTTAGGTTTTTAAATAAACAAGATTTAAGATTTAATACTATACTTAGTTTAAGGTCAATAAATGAACAAAACGTTGTTTCTAATCTAATGACCTACATTACATTATTGACCTGTGTATCATGGTAATATTATGTTATTGTTTTAAAGTTAAACTTACTACAATGCTTTATCATGTTTTTAAAAATTAAATATTGACAGTAAAGTTATGATTAATTGTTACAGACCAATTTGACTTGTTGTTCCTTTTAATACTATATCTAGAACAAAATATTTTACATAAGACATTAGAACTTTTGTCAACACTTCAAACAAAGCTTCTGATATTTTAGACTTAATTTTATTTCCTGACGACACCGGTTTTTTATATTTCCAAAGTAATATAAAGAAACTGTTTCAAAATGTCAACAATTTTTAAAGTAACGAAATGGCTTAATAAAAATAAATTATAAGTAACTTAAGAAAAATTAAGTAAACTTTTTTTTATCGCTTTGATCAAAAAGACAAAATTGTATAAAACTTCCAGATGTTACAATTAAAACTTCCAGATGTTACAATTATAAATTACAATATAAAAAGAAAAAACTCAATGAAGTTTCTAGATGTTCTCTTCGACCAAAATGTCACCTAAAAAATTGCATAAACTTTATTAAAAAACATATATATATTGTCATTCTTTAAAATACAACTTCTTACCTGAATCAAATATGTTTAAAGTCTTTATTGTTCTCTTTTATTCATTGTTACCTAAATTGTAACAATGCTTGGAGCAGAACAAATAAAACAAAACTGAACTTTTTAACAAACAAAAAAATGCAATCAGAATCTAACGTCGCTAAGACAACCATTGTTAAACTATCTAAAATATTCTGAATGTTTATTAAATAAATTATTTATCACCGTTAATTTTTATGTACACAATTAGTAAAGAAAAAAAAATTAAAATGCTGCACGAATATCCCAGCAAACACAAAACGCTTAATGAACGTTGCGAACGTTAAAGAACGTTCTATGAGCGTTCATAGAACGTGCTCGAACGTTCTTTGAACGTGTTGTGTTTGCTGTGATCTTACTAGATTTTTAAATGATAATATATTCTAGTTAAAACTTACATTGAAGCAACCAAGTTTTTTATTATTACCAGAGGTACTTAAGTAGAAAATAACAATCAATAATAACATTAAAACGCTTGCAACTATAAATTATTTAAAATTATTTGAAATTATTTAAAATTAGACCAGCAATAATCGCAAAAAAGATCAACGATAGTCGAAAAACTAAAAAAAAAAATGATTTTTAAAGAGTAAAAATAAAGAGGACTTTTGAAAATCATCTGCATTTTCTTCTATTTATTTAGTGGTCATAAAATATCATATAGTCTACATACTTAATATATATTAGGTAAAGTCGGTTAGCCCCGGGCACTTCAGGAAAAAATAGATTTTACTCATGTACTAACAAAAAACAAAGTATCAAAAGACTTTTTTCAAAGTATAAGCATTTATCTATTGAATTAGAAACAAAAAAATAATTATTGCGTACTTAATAATATACAAATCATTGATCATCCGTGATCAAGTGTGGCTGCAATTATCCGCGATCAAGCATGGCTACGATTATCCGCGATCTTGAGTGCTAATAATAATTTTGAAAATTGATGTTTTTTTAAACTAATAAAAAATTTCTTTCAATAAAAACAAAATCTTTTTTCATTCATTACTTAATTTAAAAAAAAAAAACTACTTTAAGGCATGAAAGACTAAAGTAAATTTGATTTTGTGTTTAATTAAGGCTCAATATCTACATAGTTACAACAGTTATATTTTTGGCCACCTATTTCAATAGAATGTTCCCACTGTACAGCGGTTATACGTTTTTAATTGCGGTTGTTATGCTCTGTTATTAATGGAATTGTTTATGGGAGCATTTATTTAGAAAGCTCACGTTTCTGATCTTCCGATATCGCAATATTCGGCCGGAGGTAGATTCGAACTTCGGATCTCTTGATTCTGAAGCACACTCTCTAACCGCTGCGTCTCTGTTGCTCTGTTCTTTAACCACTGCGTCTCTGTTGCTCTGTTCTCTAACCACCGCGTCTCTGTTGCTCTGTAGAAAACACTTACAACTTTAATATTTACATTTCTAATTCTAAACATCTTCTTTCAAAAACAAGTTTTTCTTTGCCAATTCATTAAAATAGTGTCTGTAGCTTTTCTTGAAAATCAGGGTCAAAAGTCCTTGTTGTCTAGAGCGTCATTTTTTATTTTATATGCTTTGATATCATTTCTGAAACTTTATTATTAGTCAGTTTAAGAATAATTTGGCTTTATCTAAGTTTTACTTTCTTCTGTAAAACTATCAGAGCTTAAGAAACTTTTCAGTTTTCAGAAGTTCTTTTAGAAGTTTTCAGAAGTTTTTAGAAGCTCTTTCAAAAGTTCTTTCAGAAGTTTTCAGTTTGATACACATAAAAATAAACTTAAATTTTCTGTTTTATCTTTTTTTTTTTTTTCAATTTTTAATTTTTTTTTTTGAACTCTGTTTTTTTGTTGAACTTCTATTTCCTCTCTCAATATCAAGCGTGTTAAAGGTTTATTATCTAATTTAATATCTAAACAAAGTAGTTTAACAGCATACACAGAAATTGTAAATTTAACGTTTTATTAGCAGATTAACATCATATACAAACCATACATATAAACAGAGCATAAAATGTACCACTCATTATAGTTGCTCCAAAGAGCAATAACTCACTGTTTCTTTTGAAAAAATATATCATATTTGGTTAATTTTAACCCCTTCCACCACTACCGAATCGGTTTTGGAAAAGCGTCATGTCGAACAACCAAATTAAGCACTGGTATCTTAATTTTGTTAAATATAGATAAATTTTTATTTTTATTTTTTCTGTAATAAAATCTGTTTAATCAGAAAAATCTCGAAAATGTTTAAATTTAGTAGATATACACTCCACTGGTAGAAAAAATATTTATTGATAATATACAGAAATAAACTCAAAATGTGGACATACAGCATCTTGGTTCTCAGCTAAAGGTTTGTTTGAATTTGCACTTACAAAGTAAGAACAATCTAACTTACAAAGTAAGTGCAATCATTAGACATAAATTAAATTAAGTTTATAGCATAATAAATTAGTTGAATATATAACATAATAAGTAATCAAAGTTAATAACATAAAATATTAACATTTTTTTCTTTTTTAATGTTTTCTAAGATTTTGCCCTGCATGTTAAATCAGTATATTTTGAAACTTGGAACTTAAGTAACTAACTTGTTTATTTGGCATATCAATTACTTGTTCTAAAATATTATTATTTTTGCCAACTATTCAAACACTGCGATAAACCTAAATCTATATTTTTAAATTTTTGGAGACCTGTCATTAGAGACGTTACTTGCATCTTCAGTTACAGATCAATCTCCATATCTCCATGCATCTTACAACTGTTAGAAAAGTTATTTATATTAGACTGCATTCTTTTCTGGAAAATACTATTTTTTAAATAATAAACAGTTTGATTTAAAAACATTATTTTTGAAGAAGTTGTTCAATAAAGCAATTATACAGGATCCTCAAAAAATAATTGAAAACTTTAACTTTATTTAGACTTAAGAAGCAATTAAATGCTTCTTTCTTTCGAAGCTTCTTAAATGTCCAGAATGTGAAGAGTTAGTTAATTTGCAGTTTGATTTTTCTAAAAAATATGGTCTAAGTATTGGACTAAAACTTTGTTGCAATGGTTGTGAATGGGAAACCTTTTTTTTTCATCTGCTGCTGTTAATAAAAGAAACTATAATGCCAAACAAAATAATTTTGTTGAACATAATTGTGTTGGACGTATACCATTTGACATTTAAAATGGGTAAGGGATTGTCAGCATTAGAAAAATTTTGTGCAATAATGAATAATGCTACACTATCAGTAAGCAACCCGTAAAACGGGTTAGTAGTAAATAAATCATTACTAACAATTTGATATTTATTTACTTTCTCTAATAAAATATAAGTTTATTTGTACAGTAAGCAACCCGTAATACGGGTTAGTAGTAAATAAATCATTACTAACAATTTGATCTTTATTTACTTTCTCTAATGAAATATAAATTTACTTATACATTTTTTTAGTTGAGCTCACTTTTATTTTTCTTGGCTTCTTAGTTTAAGAGAACTCTTAGCTTCATTAAAGATAAAGTTAACCATTTCTTTTGCAATGTTCAGACATTGAATGCGCAAATCACAACCATGTAGTAGTTAAAAATGACTTGAATTATATGCACAGAACATCGATGTCAAATTTTCAAATTCCTTAAAATTGTTTAGGTAAATATTGGGAATATATTCTACTCTTAATTTTGCTTTAAGCTGAGTCGTTTCTTTTTTTTTTAAACTTTTCATTTTACTGAGTGAAGAGCTTAAAAATATGTCACTATCGCACCTAAACTTTTCAATATTATTAATATACTTTTTAAATATTTTTAAAACATCTAAAATATTACACCCAAACTTGTAGGCATAGAAGTTGGATATCCGGAAAAACTATAAGTTGAAAAATATATCGCAATTCCGAAAAGGGCTTAGCCTCGCATACGGATCCTATATTATTATGATAAAGATTATTATTAAACCAACCTTTTTTTTAATTAGTAATCCAGCAGAAACTTGTTTATAAAAAAACAATAAAGGAATATATGGATTTACTTTAATAGCTAACGTGTATCAACATATTTATTTCAGCATACTTCCAATCCATATTTATACTAATTTTATAAAATGTCCGGAATAC